AAGGTGTAGTGAGCTGAGAGCGATTGGCCCAAAGTCAGCCAGCTGGCTTTCGGGCCTAAGGCAGGACTAGAACTCAAACTCTCCAGGTGATTGGCTGGCTGGGGAATTCTGGGATTTGAAAAGTCTTAAAAGTTGCTGAGATTAAGCAACATTGAAATCAAAGGATGGCAAAAAAAAAAATCGGCTGCCTCAGGTCTCTTTTTTTTTTTTTAAGTCAGTTTTTTTTTAAAAAAATTATATATAAGTATTTGGAATACTGTGTATTGTCCGGGTATACCATTTTACAAAAAGGAAAGGAAAAAAAAAGATAACACATATACTGATAGTAATAATAACAAAATAATTCTAACCATATCTATAATCATATTCACTTATGTTCCTATTAAATGCGTATATACATATAATTATAAACAAGATTCATATAGCAATACTCTTTCATCTAATTTCTACCTCTTATCTCTAACCATTGATAAAACCTATTCCACATAAAATAGTATTCTGTGTCTCCCTTATTTTATTTTCAATGTCAATCTACCCATCTCTGCACAATCGAATATTTCTGGATTGTATTTTCACCTGGTAGGGTGTTCTCATTTTTCCAATACTGTGCAAATACAATTATCACTGCTGTCAATATATGTAACGTTAAGTATATAGCCCCTTTGTCATAATTTTCTGGTATTATACCTAACAAAAATACTTCTGGTTTAAAAATCTGTGTGTTGCTTCATCATCTTCTCCAATCATGTATGATACTTTTGTCCAATATGTTCTTGCCTTTACACATATCCACCACATATAATAAGTACCTGAAGTCTGATTACATTTCTGCCTCGGGTCTCCGAAAGCTTCTAAGGAAACTTTAAATAAACGCATGAGCAAATTTGGAATAGCGAGGGGGGAAAATGTGATCTTTAAAGAGCAAACAATCCACCAAATCTGGATGCAATGAAGGGGTCCTCAATTCTAGGCCAGAGTTCTACCTGTCCCAGGTGTGGCTGCCAGCATTTGTCATGCCCCTGTTGGAGTCTGAATCCCAGGAGGAAGAGGAACAGCTGACAGGGAGTGGGAGTGTAGCTCCATTGGCTGTGGAGGAAACTGGGGAAGGGCAAAGTCTGACTGGGCAGAGCAGGGGAGAGGTAGAACAAGGGAGAGGAAGTTCAGAGGAAGATCCAGACCCACCCTCTCTTCATCTTAGGGCACGCAGGGAGGAATGGAGAAGGGAGCAACGTGGGTTGCATGGCTTACGGGGGAGGAAAGGGACCTGATTCCCTACACCTGGGAATGAGAGTTTAAAAGAGATGCATGCTGAGTGCGACAGCTGCTGGGAGCAAACATGAGTTTATCTTGTGTTGACTTTGCTTATCTGTGTTCCCGGTGTCTTCCCAACCGTGTTGAGTTATTGCCATGCCTTTCACGCCTGGAATTCTTGCTCCTGCCCTGCTGAACTAATTACCTCATTTTGCCTTGATTGGACTTATAGTTCCAGTTTTTGTTGACCACGTTTTGGACTTGATTTCTCTGTAGTTAAAGGCTGTACCTGGGAGAGTTTTTCTCCAGCCAGAAGGTAACCAGGACAATGGAGACAAAGTTGGAGCTAATGAAGGGACTCTTATTGATTACCTGACTGTGTTGCCTTTGTGCCAGGTCATCACAGCGTCCTAGACTCTTCACACAGTGAAACCCATGGGGCATGCCAAAAGCCACCTCACCTGTGATTTTAGCAGCATACCAGATCCCATCCTGGTGTCTCGCCAGGCAGGCTGACCCCACAGCTAAACAACCGAGGTCAGGCTCTTCAAAGGGACGCAGCTCCTCAATGGATACCACCTGCCCATGGGAAAACCTGCCATGAAGACCACGAAGGGAGAGTCCATCATCAGTGCCTCGGTTTCAAAACACCGTAGCTTTATACAGGAAGTCCTCAACTTATGACCAGACCCTTAGCGACCATTGCAGGTTACGACAGACCTCCCTGACAGCACATGTGATCCAGATTTGAAGAACTGATAGATTCCACTCCCTGCCTCCCCAGACCTTAGTTAGTCAACAATTGGGCTGCATTTACGGCCGTGGGCAGTGTCCCACACATGATCAAAACTTGGATGCTTGGCAATTGACTCGTAATAATGACGGTCATAGTGTCCCAAGTCCTATGAGCAGCTTTTGCAAGATCAATGGGGAAGCCAGTCTCACTTAACAACTGGGTAACTAACTTAACTGCAGTGATTCAATTAATATGTGACAAGAAAGGACATAAGATGGAGCAAACTCACTTAGTAACCTTTTCTATGCCAACTCAGAAAACTCAAACTGCAACTGTCATCTGCACCTCTATGACTGTCTGGTTTGGTTCTGCAACCCAACAGGACAACACAGATTCCAGGGAGTAATTAGGACTGCAGAAAAAAACAATTACTACCAACCTGCCTTCCATGGAGGACCTGTATCCTGCACGAGTCAAAAAGAGGGCTGTGAAAATATCTCCAGACCCCTCACATCCTGGACATAAACTGTTTCAAGTCCTTCCCTCAAAACGACGCTACAGGGCACTGCACACCAGAATATCTAGACACAAGGACAGTTTTTCTCCCGAATGCCATCACTCTGCTAAACAAATAATTCCCTTAACATCGTTCAACTATTACAAAGTCTGCACTACTATTACTGTTAATATTCTCATCACTCCTTCTTACCCATCCCCTCCCATTTGTGACTGTATGACTGTAATTTTGTCACTTGTATCCTTATGATTTATATTGACTGTTTCCTAGTATGATTTGATTGCTTATTGTACCCTATGACTGTCACTGAGTGTTGCACGTTATGATTCTTGACTCTTGACGAATCTTTTATGTACACTAAGAGCATTTGCACGAAGACAAATTCCTTGTGTGTCCAATCACACTTGGCCAATAAAGAGTTCTATACTAGTCTATTCCTTTTGCTTGGCAAAATGAATTTATGGGTCATAAGTCGAGGACTACCTATACAAAGATTTCCCCAAGCAGGAAAAGAGCAGTCTTATCACATAAGATTGTATGTTTGTTCTTGTTTCTGTTATATTGTAAGCTCTCGACAAAATAAATGAATAAAAATAATAAAATAAAATAAAATAGTACGATTCTGCCCACAAAGATGTGCCCTGCATAACGAAAGGAGTGCTTTTTGGGACGTATCAGGAAACCCATCTCCTACCAGCTGATCTACTTACCGACAATTCTCCTTAAATCGACATTTGTCATCCAGGAAAAAGGGACATGGCTTCAAAGACTTGTGAGTTGGGTAGAGGTACAGCACCCTAACTCCGGCCCCTCCATCTTCCAAACACTCACTACCTACAATCATAGCGTTGTGATACTCCAGGGTTCCCCAGGAACTGTAGTAAGGAGCTTTCACTTTCATCCCGCTGGCTATTTCTTCTTCTTCTTCTTCTTCTTCTTCTTCCTCCTCCTCCTCTTCCTCCTGTTCCTCCTCTTCATCACCCATCCCATCTGTGTCCTCCTGAGTCCTTAATGGACCATCCTCTCCCCCTATTTGTTCAATTGCTTCCTTAAAAGCAGCATATTCGTCACCGGCGTTCAGATGACCAGCTTCTCCACTGCTCTGTTGAGGATGGGCAGATGAAAGCGCCTCGGTGTCCAAAACTGAACAAAGCTTGCTTTTTTTCACGGAAAGGAGGCTGCCTTCAGTCAGTTCTATCAGCTGCCTTAAATCGGCCTGCAGCTGGATTAGATCGGCCTGTTGCGTTGGGTCCAGCCCAGCTCCCAAAGCCAAGTCCACCTGATGCAACTGGGCATTGTAAGTCTGAATTGCTGTTTCCAAGCTCTCTTCGTCCATGGCGGCGCTCCTTTTCTGTGAGAATTCAGTGCATATTCAGCTTAAGAGGCAACGGAGAAAAACGATATTCATCCAGCAATAAGGACTGCACACTTTAGTTCATGGTTGCGGTCTGGTTTTTTTTTTACATCCAAGCTCATCTCGCTGCAAGAAACACAGATAATTGTCAGTAGGTTTATACCACTTTTGAGGGAAACCTTTTCAAATTCTGTACAATGGTATCTATGACATTGAGTAGGTTACAAAGCAATATTACAGGTCGTCCTCAAGTTAAGATCACAATTAAACCCAACATTTCTGTGCAGAGCAATAGCACTGAGACTTACATACTGCTTCACAGTGCTTTTACAGCCCTCTCTTAAGCGGTTACAGAGTCAGCCTACTGCACCCCACAATCTGGGTCCTCATTTGACCCACCTCAGAGGGATGGAAGGCTGAGTCAACCTTGAGCCTGGTGAGATTCGAACTGCCCAATTGCAGGCAGCCGGCAGTCAGTAGAAATAGCCTGCAGTACTGCACTCTAACCACTATGCCACCGCGGCTCAGCAAGGCAGTTGCTCAGTGAGTTGTGCCCCCTTTTTTAAACCTCTCTTGCCACATTTGTGAAGTGAATCCTGTTGTTGTTAAGCAAATCTGGCTTCCCCCATTATTTTGCTTGTCAGAAGCCAGATGGGAAGGTTATAAAGCGGGGTGGGTGTGATGTGACCCCAGGACAGTGCAACTGTCATTAAGTGTGAAAACTGTTCATAAGTCATTTTTTTCAGTGTGGTCGTAACTCCAAATGGCCACTAAGCAAATGACTGTAAACTAAGGACTACCTGTATTGGGAAATTACAAAGTTAGCATCTAAAATGCACCAAGATATTTACTCTCTTCTAAAATGGCAGAAATTTTGCAGTAAAATGTGTTATGACTCCTGAAATGAGGGGAACCAATCACATCAAATGCCTTTTCAGGAAAAACAAAACAGATCAACATTTCAAAGGAAAACCACGCTAGAAAACCATTTTTGTCAGGTTAGAAAATCCTAACATTGCAAATAAAAAATGCAACCAAGTTATAGTCCCACCCCCCCTTCTGCTGCTACTGGTGTGCCATTTATGAGCAGGCAATGAAATAATTTCAGATATGAAGGGAATAAAATTTTCTGCGGTTGATATTTCTTAATTTCTGAAGAAATTCATTTCTGCAGTTGATATTAATGGCACAGGAACAAAGGCAAGAAAGAAAAGGTGGCAACTCCACCTGGTCTTTTGGCAGGGAGAAGGAATATTATTTTTTTCCTTTTATTCTTCAGGGCTGGCAGCTTCTGCTTCTAAACCAAGCAGAAATTCAACCGGAAAAGCCCCAGCAAAAAAAAAAAAAAGGAAAGAAACGGGGGGGAAAAATGGATTTGCGAGCAGAAAAAAATAGGCCTCGTTCCAAGCTAGGGCTTTCTTTCGTTTGCAGTTAATTTAGACCAAAAAAAGCCATAAGGAAGTTTCAGCCCACCCAAGACAATGGACTCATGTCCCATCATCCACAGCCATATGGGTCCAACTAGCATGGAGTACGATTAGCGTTGTAGTCCTAGGCTTCTGGACGGGTTCTGAGTGGAGACCAGCGAAAGCTCTCGCGCGCCACCCAAGCGAGGGGAAAGCGGTTCACCAGAACGACCAACGACGGACGGCTTTCCCTCTTTCAGTATCCAAGGACCGCCATGACGGCTCTCGAAATCCTCCTCCACTTCCGGTCTCCTTATAGAGGCTTTCATGGCTAGAGAGAGAAGCCGACCGGAAATAGCTCCGCCTCCCTCTTCTTTCCCTCTCTATTCTATGGTTTATACCCGGCGAATCCAATCAGAAATGGCTCCTCCTTCCTCTTCTTTCCTTCGCTGTCTATGATTCGTGCCCGGCGAATCCGACCGGAAATGGTTCCTTACCCCCTTTTCTTTCCTTCTCTGTCTATGGTTCGTATTCGGCGAATATGACAGGAAATGGCACCGCCTCCCTCCTCTTTCCTTCCTTGTCTATGGTTCGTGTCTGGCGATGCAAAAGGGGGCGCGGCGTGAAGGCGCAGAGGCTCATGGGGATCGTGGTCCTTTACAGGCAGCGGGACGCCGTCGCCGGCGGGGACGGGACTCCATTTCCCAGGGTGCCTCGCACTAGCGGGGCAGGCTGCGGAAGAAGCCCATAAGGAAGGCGAGCAGGAGCCGTTAACCGAATTCGCCTCCCTTGTAAAGTGCCCGGTAAGTCCGGCGCCGCCCGCCTCGGGGAGTGCAGGGTGTTTCACGGGGACAGCGAAGGCCAAACCCCAGCGGGGAAGGCGGGACTCCCATCCCCATCTCGCCGGTGGAAAAGGCATATGGGTGGGCTGGATCCAGAAGCGGCTTATTGAGGTTGCTGGGGCAAAGGAAATCACTCTGTGCATGCTCAGAGGCCTTCTTGACACTTGCCAGAGGACGTTGAACGGCCAATACATTTGCATGAATAATAAAGCCAATTGCAGGAAATTCCTTGCTGGGGTAATATATATATATATATATTTGTTCCCATTGTACAGGTGTCCTCGACTTACGACCACAACCGAGCGCCCCCCCCAAATTTCTGTTGCTAAGTGAGGCATTTGTCGCGTTTTGCCCCATTTTACAACCTTTCCTGCCCCAGTTGTTAAGTGAATCATTGCAGTTGTTAAAGTTAGTAACGTGGTTTTGAAGCGAATCTGGGGCATTGACTGGCCAGAAGGTCGCAAAAGGGGATCACGGGAACCGTCATAAATACGAGCCACTTGCCAAATGTCTGAATTTTGATCACGTGACCATGGGGACGCTGCAGCGATCATAATTGGGAAAAAGGGTCATACTTCACTTTTTTCAATGATGCAACTTGGAATGGTCAGTAAATGAAACTGTTGAAAGTCTAGAACTATCTGCAGTGGGATCTCCTTGGGGTGTCACATCCAAATATTCGTGGGGGAGTGTCTCCCCCCCCCCCATATGACCCTTGTTTTTCCAGTATTTCATAGCTGCTTTATTGAAGTGTAAATGTCAGAGGAGAGATTCTATTTAGGCTGTTCCTTAAAGATTGAATATATTAGAATAACAGAGTTGGAAGGGACCTTGGAGGTCTTCTAGTCCAGCCCCCTGCTCAAGCAGGACACCCTATATCATTTCAGACAAATGGTTGTCCAAACTCTTCTTAAAAACTAGAGTTTTTAAGTGTTGGAGCATTCACAACTTCTGGAGGCAAACTGTTCCAGTGATTAAATTGATAGATCGGATATAAATATAAAATACTCTTCACATGCACAGGAGCTCTCTTTGTCTTGGTGTTGCGTGCCTGCCTGGCATGATGTGCTCCTTTCTAAGGGAAACTGGAAGGATTTGGGCTTTGAATTCAGCCTGGTCCAGTTTCCCCTCTCCCTGACCCCAGGTGGGGGAACGTTTTTCTTCTTTATAAGCCCAAACCTATCCTAAATTTCAAAAAGCCAGGCCTTCCCCCCCATGCACAAGACACCATCATTTGCCTTCCTCCTGAGAAACTGCAACTAAAAACAGGAATAATGCATTATAGAAACAAGAATTGGTTTATTAGTACGAGCAATTGATGCATGCGTGCTTTGTGAGCAGGTATAAAACTGTCTTAAAAGGAAGTAAATAAAAGGTGGCCCCTTCCAACTCTGATAACTGTAGACAAAGTGTTTCTCAGTCTTGCTAACTTTAAGCTACCATGTTCCTCCAAAAATAAGACCCCGTCTTATTTTGCCACCAAAATATATATTTTGCCACCAAAAAGACATCAGTTCATTTATGCTTGAAGTTACAGCGTTGCTGAAAAAAGTGACTCCGGACCATTTTTCATCCTTATGACTGTTGCAGCATCCCCATGGTCACGTGATCAAAACTCGGACTTTTCGGCAACTGCTTCATATTTATGATGTGTCCTGGGGTTGCGTGATCCCCTTTTGCGACCTATTGACCAGCCAAATCAATGGGGGAAGCTAGATTCCCTTCACAACCATGTGACTAGCTTAATGACGGCAGTGATTCACTTAACAACTGCCGAGAGAAAGCTCGTAAAACGGGGCAAAACTGACTTCCCAAATGCCTCCCTTAGTGACCAAAATGTGTGGCTCAATTAAGGCCGTAAGGCTAGGACTGCCTGTATTTGCAATTTTTAACTCGACTTCTGATGGCTTTTGGTCCCAACCTTGTTGTTTTCTGAGCAACGATGCAAAAATTGTGTTATTTCTGCTGCAGGGACAGATTTTTGAGTTTTAAGTCTACTTTGCAAGGGAAATTCTAGCCTCTGCTTATTCTGATTGTATACTTCCTGCTAATCTGGGCCAACCCTTAGTTTTTCAAGGCCAGTTGAAAACTGGTAGATGCTGCCACCTGTTGTACCTACTTCGATGTGTGCAGCACTCTGGTTGTATATACCTAACCTCTCCCTCGAGTTGCATTTCACGTTTGGTGGAAGTGTCCGTGTAGTTTCTTTGAAAGCAATGAGGAATTGGTTCTACTACCGTACCAATTTTTCTAGTGTGAAAAGGGTAGATCTCTAAGGGCAAGATTACAAGTGGTCCTCAATTTATGACTGTACTTAGGACCAGAATTTCCATTGCACAGGAAGGGAGTTGTTAAGTGAGATGCACCCAGTTATATTACCTTTGTAAATTAGGAGTTGTAACTTATAATTTATTTTTAATTTTATTTGGTTTGTCAATTGCTTACAAGATAATAGGTATAAGTAAAAACATAGTTATGAATACATGGATACATATAAGAAAAATAAAAGAAACAATAGGACAGGGATGGTAGGCACATCGGTGCGCTTATGCACACCCCCCACAGACCTCTTAGGAAAGGGGTGAGGTCAATAGTAGACAGTCTAAGGTTAAAGTTTTTGGGGTTTGGTGAAGAAACCACAGAGTCAGGTAGAGTATTCCAGACATTGACCACTCTGTTGCTCAAGTCGTATTTCCTGCAATCAAGTTTGGTATGGTTAACCTTGAGTTTGTATCTATTGTTTGCTCTTGTGTTGTTATGATTGAAGCTGAAGTATTCCTTGACAGGCAGGACATTGCAATGTATGATTTTATATACTATATTTAGATCGGACCGAAGGCGGTGTAGTTCTAGGTTGTCTAGGTCTAGAATTTAGAGTCTGGTGGGATAAGGTATTCTGCAACGAATAGAGGAGTGGAGAACTCTTCTTGTGAAATATTTCTGGACTTTCTCCACTGTTAATATCAGATACGTAATGTGGGTTCCAGACTGATGAGCTGTATTCGAGTATTGGTCTAGCAAATGTTTTGTATGCTCTAGTTTGTAGTGTTTCCTCCAAAATACGATCCTACCCTGAAAGTAACTCCTAGCTTGATTTTTACACATGCGCCCAATATTAGCCCTACCCCCAAAATAAGCCCTAATAAAGATCCCACCCACTTCAGAGTGGACAGGCAAAAATTAAGCTAAGGTGGGAATGAGGGGTGGAGCTGCCTTACTACTTACCTTTGGACAGTTGCAGCCAGGCCTCACACACCCCGACACCTGCCTTGTTGGCCCATTTCTTCTGCAGCCGGCAAGGCTGGCGAGGCTTTTCTGAAGGCCTCTGGAACTGGTAACAAAGCTGTGGATCGATCTGGAGCTCTGTTATCTACTGCAGGGGCCTTCAAGGCAGCCTTGTCGGCTGCAGAAGAAGAAGTTCCTGAAGGCCTCCGACAGCGAAAAGGTGGCCGGGGGCAACGCACGCAAATGAGGTTAGTCAGTGGATGGTATCCCCCGAAAATAAGACCTGGTGCCTTTTTTGGTGGCAAAAATGTATATATAAGGCAGGGTCTTATTTTCGGGGAAACACGGTACCTGTATAATCACTTCGTGCCTAGACCAAGTGGTTAAGGTACCAGTAATGGTAGATTGTCAAGCATCAAAGCCAGTAGGGTGTCTTTGAGCCAATCACCAGGAGACGGTGAGTTCTAATCCTGCTTTAAACATGAAAGCCAACTGGGTGATTTTGGGCCAATCACTAGGAGACGGTGAGTTCTAGTTCTGCCTTAGGCATGAAAGCTGGCTGGGTGACTGTGAGCCAGTCACTCTTTCTCTCAGCCCTACCTCACAGAGTCGTCGTCAGTGAAATAGGAAGGTATGTTGGATATGTTTGCTGCCTTGAGATGAATAATGAAAGTGGGATACCAATAAGCAAAAAAATAAAGATATAATTCTGTACTCACGCAGTTTCATCATTTTAGAAAGTCTTGGGGAAAATAACCGTTATATCATTTGGCGAACCTCAGCCAAATCTCCGTTCCTTTTCATTTACAAGGGAAATTCCTGCCTAGGTTTGGAGGAGGAAGCGGTATAAGGGAAAAAAATAAGGATCTTTTGGCCAATTAAATTTTGTTGTCTTTGTTTTAACAGGAGCACAATGTACACGCTGCTTTCTGGCCTTTACAAATATATGTTCCGGCGAGATGAATACTGCATCTTAATCCTGGGATTGGACAATGCTGGAAAAACGGTGTGTTATCTAGGCTCGTTCATAGAAATGGGGAAATCTCCACTCCACCCCCTCTCTGTGTTTGTGTTGGTTTATTCCGAGTCACAAGATAGAAACTTCCAACTTCCAATTTATCTCAGTGGGTGAGATCAATTTCACCCCTCTCTAATTTCATTAGGGGGTGTCACCTGCAGGTGAGGAAGGAGGCTGTCACATTCAGAGCCTCCGCAAGTGAAAATTCTACAATAATAAAAAAAAAATATGTCGAAATTGCCAAGACTTCGTGAGATTAACTGTGTGCAAACCAGGCTCTGCATTTCTTGTGTTGGAAAAGGAGAGCACCTTCTGTCTCTCCACCACTTTTTACGGAGGCACAATTGAGAGCGTTTTAACAAACTACATTCCTGCTTGCTTTGGGGGCAGCAGTGCCTCTGA